TCATCATCAGCATCACCACCATCATCATCATCATCATCAGCATCATCAGCATCATCATCATCAGCATCATCATCATTATCATCATCATCGTCGTCGTCGTCGTCGTCATCGTCCTCATCATCATCATCATCATCATCATCATCATCATCATCATCAGCATCATCAGCATCATCAGCATCAGCATCATCATCATCATCATCAGCATCATAATCATCATCATCAGCAGCATCAGCATCAGCATCAGCATCATCATCATCATCCTCATCATCATCAGCATCATCATCAGCATCATCATCATCACCACCATCATCATCATCATCGTCATCATCATCAGCATCATCATCATCAGCATCATCATCAGCAGCAGCATCATTATCATCATCATCCGCATCAGCATCAGCATCATCAGCAGCATCATCATCATCACCACCATCAGCATCATCATCAGCAGCAGCATCATCATCATCAGCATCAGCATCATCACCACCACCATCATCATCATCATCGTCATCGTTATCATCCTATTCCTCCTCCTCCTCGTCCTCCTCATCTTCCTCGTCCTCCTCCTCCTGCACCTCCTGCACGTCGACCAACACAACAAAAACCAAAACTGCGGCAGAGCTGATTGAGCACCGAGGTTTCGCTGAATCAGGGGAAAAAGCGAACATGGTTTTCAATGATCTGCACGCTCCCGCCTTTGACCCTTCGGACGGGCCTTCAGACGGCTGGATGGTTGCAAGAGAGAGCTCCAAGGCAGCCCAACAGGATCCTAAGGAGCAGCCCAAACAGTGTCATAATGGGCTCCGAGATGGCCCAAACAGAGCACCGAGGAGGCCACGCGGAGGCTCCCACACAGCCCCAAGAGCCCCCAAGTGGCACCAAAAAACAGAGAGCAGCCCAAGAGCTGGCCGAGGAGGCCCAGGAGGGTTCCGGGGTACAGAAACTGCCCCGAAAAACCTCCCCATCGACCCCAACATCACCAAAAATGGCCCCAAAATGTTTTGCCTTACGATCCCGCATACCCGCTAACAATAACTCACATCGGTTGGAAGACGGTGGGTCACAGATGAACAGTAACACGAAAGAGCGGAAGCAGAGCGAGAGGGAGTCGAACAGCGAATAATTCCACCTCGCGTGAAGTGCAGAGCTTCAACAGAGAAAGGAGCACAGCGTCCTTGACAACAACGCTCGCCTCCTGCACCACATAATTGACCTTGGCAGAAGGCTTTGGTGTTTGACGCCCTCGGTTGCAATAGACATTGGAGGACAGGTACAAGCTCGCTGATCGGAGGCCAACACGTGTAGATGCCTTTTGCAGGGCACGTGTTCGGAGCAACAGTGACCTGGACATGGCGTTCCCTGGTGCCAGGGTAATCCATAGATCTCCCAAGGCCAAAACTCATCCCCCGAAGAACGAAAAAACCTGGCCCTGCCCCGCCAGTTGATGCCCGGCAGCCTTTCCTCAACGGGGAGGGGCTTAAAGCCTCGAGCACGAGCCGAATGCCAAACGAGTGGCAACGGTGGCTGTCGAGCCTCTCGAGGCCCGAGATGCGGCTGGAGAGCCCGATCGGCACACGACTCCCTCGTGTTGGGAGGGGCTTGTCCCCCTACAGGGGGGATGTTGGACGAAACATAAAAAATACCCCACACAAAAAAAATGGTCAAAATATGCTCCAAAAATGGGCCCCCGACTATTTTTTCCTATTTTTGAATATTCCCCCTGTAAAGGGACAGGCCCGACTTAACCCTCGTGGGGAGGGGGGGGGGGGGGCAATCGCCTCGCCCGTGAGGCAGACGCCCTCCGCGCCCCTCGCCTGCACCCGGGATGCCCCAAGGCGGACCCCAGCCAGGACGCCTGTCCTCCCTCTCAAGATCCACCAAAGCGTTGTGGACGCCATGCACTGGACACTCTAACAATCCTACGATGAATCGAAAATGTGCTAGAAGATGTGTAAGACATGTCCTAAACATTCCCAACAATCCTGTGGTGTTGGGTCCTCGTTTTGAAGAGACGGTGCCCCGCGTCTCCTTCCTTCCTCCCGCTCCCCCCTCCTCCCCCTCCCACACCCATTCTGGCACACCCCTCACACGCTTCGTGGCCCAATAGGGAGTTCCACCGAAGGCCCCAGTGGCTGCGCCCGCATGCGGTTCCACCCCCCATTCTGGCACACCCCTCACACGTTTCGTGGCCCCATAGGGAGCTCCACCGAAGGCCCCAGTGGCTGCGCCCGCATGCGGTTCCACCCCCCATTCTGGCACACCCCTCACACGTTTCGTGGCCCCATAGGGAGCTCCACCGAAGGCCCCAGTGGCTGCGCCCGCATGCGGTTCCACCCCCCATTCTGGCACACCCCTCACACGTTTCGTGGCCCCATAGGGAGCTCCACCGAAGGCCCCAGTGGCTGCGCCCGCATGCGGTTCCACCCCCCATTCTGGCACACCCCTCACACGTTTCGTGGCCCCATAGGGAGCTCCACCGAAGGCCCCAGTGGCTGCGCCCGCATGCGGTTCCACCCCCCATTCTGGCACACCCCTCACACGTTTCGTGGCCCCATAGGGAGCTCCACCGAAGGCCCCAGTGGCTGCGCCCGCATGCGGTTCCACCCCCCATTCTGGCACACCCCTCACACGTTTCGTGGCCCCATAGGGAGCTCCACCGAAGGCCCCAGTGGCTGCGCCCGCATGCGGTTCCACCCCCATTCTGGCACACCCCTCACACGTTCGTGGCCCCATAGGGAGCTCCACCGAAGGCCCCAGTGGCTGCGCCCGCATGCGGTTCCACCCCCATTCTGGCACACCCCTCACACGCTTCGTGGCCCCATAGGGAGCTCCACCGAAGGCCCCAGTGGCTGCGCCCGCATGCGGTTCCACCCCCCATTCTGGCACACCCCTCACACGTTTCGTGGCCCCATAGGGAGCTCCACCGAAGGCCCCAGTGGCTGCGCCCGCATGCGGTTCCCCCCCATTCTGGCACACCCCTCACACGTTTCGTGGCCCCATAGGGAGCTCCACCGAAGGCCCCAGTGGCTGCGCCCGCATGCGGTTCCACCCCCCATTCTGGCACACCCCTCACACGTTTTCGTGGCCCCATAGGGAGCTCCACCGAAGGCCCCAGTGGCTGCGCCCGCATGCGGTTCCACCCCCCATTCTGGCACACCCCTCACACGTTTCGTGGCCCCATAGGGAGCTCCACCGAAGGCCCCAGTGGCTGCGCCCGCATGCGGTTCCACCCCCCATTCTGGCACACCCCTCACACGTTTCGTGGCCCCATAGGGAGCTCCACCGAAGGCCCCAGTGGCTGCGCCCGCATGCGGTTCCACCCCCCATTCTGGCACACCCCTCACACGTTTCGTGGCCCCATAGGGAGCTCCACCGAAGGCCCCAGTGGCTGCGCCCGCATGCGGTTCCACCCCCCATTCTGGCACACCCCTCACACGTTTCGTGGCCCCATAGGGAGCTCCACCGAAGGCCCCAGTGGCTGCGCCCGCATGCGGTTCCACCCCCCATTCTGGCACACCCCTCACACGTTTCGTGGCCCCATAGGGAGCTCCACCGAAGGCCCCAGTGGCTGCGCCCGCATGCGGTTCCACCCCCCATTCTGGCACACCCCTCACACGTTTCGTGGCCCCATAGGGAGCTCCACCGAAGGCCCCAGTGGCTGCGCCCGCATGCGGTTCCACCCCCCATTCTGGCACACCCCTCACACGTTTCGTGGCTCCATAGGGAGCTCCACCGAGCGCCCCAGTGGCTGCGCTCGCATGCGGTTCCACCCCCCCATTTCGGCACACCCCTCACACGTTTCGTGGCCCGAGGGCGCCACCGAAGAATATATCCACAATTGCGGTATTCACAACTACGCATGGTTGGGTCTTTCGTCAGGCTAATATTATGTGTTCAAACATGTTCATATATATATATAAACTTATATATATATATATATATGTATATATATATATATATATATGTATATGTGTGTGTGTTTGAAACATGTTCTAGACATCTGGACATTATGTGGCAGCATGCTTCCTCTCCATTACCCGACTTCCACAACCCAAGCGGGGGTGACCCTGAGGGGGGGCATGAGTTCGATCCGCTGGTGCACCGAGCTGCCGCAGACAGATGCCCCCCGCATGCCCCACCTATCGGCAACTAGCGGGAGCTGCCGGCGGCTGCGGGGCAAATGTTTTGGGCGGCTCGGTGCAAAAACCGATCGAACTCTCACACACACACACACACACACACACACACACACACACACGGGGCACACACCCCGTTTGCGGGATCCCGATCCCCCCTCTCCACCAGGGGGGAGGCGGTCGTGACCGTGGTCGAGCCCGGGCCCCCAGCGGGTGCAGCGGGCGAGGGGGGCGAGGCGTCGTGTGGAAGCAGTCTGGGCACCCCTACCCCCGTGCGAGAGGCGAGTGTGAGAGCCACGGCCTCCCGTCGCACGGCCAAACCTCTGAGGATGGGCGCTCGGCGAAAATCAGCCGCCAGAAGGCAGCCCCGAAAGAATGATGCGCAGGAAAATCAACGCCAGTCAAACATGCTACCCCTACCGTCCTCACGCAAAAAAATAGAACTCGTTGACGTCCTCTTAGTTTCCCGAACCATCGCCCGTCATATCAAAATCGCATGAGATGGCCATCATCACCGTCGCTTGTGCCATCCGCAGCTGCAGCATCAATGTCAAATAGAGCTCGGCAGTCACAGAAGACTCAGAATAGCCCCAGGACAGCCACCAGACCATCCTCGTCACAAACACCGTAGTCAGTTCCGTCGCCATGATCGCCAACACCGCAGACGTCCCCGACATCGCCTACCCCCTCCCGCGGAACAGCTGAGAGGCGCCTTGGTCTCGATGAGCTCCAGAAGCACGCTGATCGCTCTTTCGCACGCCCTCTCCAGCTTCACCTTCCATACTGGAGGGAGGGGCGGCGCGCGGTGGACGGGTGGGCTTGCCAGGCTCGCGAGCCGAGCCAGGCACGCGAGAGCGGCCAGAATTTGAAACAGCTCGCGGCTACAGTCAGAGCTTTGATGCAGGGACTCTCGAGGAAAGAACTAAGCCTCGACGTCTGACCTCGGAGCGCGCGAGAGCGCCTGGCAGTTCCGTGAGTCTGGGTCCTGGGGGCCCTAGCACTTACAATCCTCCATGCAGAAAGCCCGAAGGGACCTGAGGGCACTCTTCTCAGTGCCTCGCGGCGAGGTGGCGGGCGCAAGTACAGTAAAAGGTATGCCGCGAGGAACCTGTTTGACCACAGCTGGGCTAAGATCCACGGGGAGCGCCCGAGGAAACCCTGGATGGGGACCCAAGGAACCCCGAGCCCCTTCCGAAACCGAAGTGGACCTCCTCTCAGGGTTCTGACTGTGCTCGTGCTGCGTTCTGTCCCAGTTCGTCGCGCGCGCTTCGAAGGCACACCGTGATCGAGCCCCTCACGAGGGGGGGCGCCTGGATGCGAGAACCAGGAGAGAGACTATCACCAGTGTGAAGGGGAACTGGGACCACTTCCCATATTTTCTATATTTTCTGGGGAATCGACGATTCATTGTGTCTGCGTGTTTTTTCCCCTCCTGACAGTGGCATGCGTGTGCATGTCCACCACCTTGTCTTCGGCACGCTGGGACGCGACAGAATATGCATTGGTTGGATGTGGGCGTGGGGCGTCTGCAGCTCTCCGGGGCCGAGCCCCCCAACCTCTCGAGCGAGCGAGCTCCGAGAACCGTCCCCCCTTCGTGCCGCTCACCCGCGCCCCCGAACGCCGAGACAGCCAAAAACCGCCTCAAAACGACTGCAAGACGCCCCGAGACCATCCAAAGACGACTCAACGAGCCCCAAGAGACTGGAAGATCTCCAAAAGACGCCCCGAGTGGTCCCAAGAAGCCTTCACGGGGCACACACACACACACACACAGAGACCACCGGCGAGGCACTCAGAGACGAAAAGCATGGCCAGCCTCGATCAGATCGCCTTGGGAAAAACGTCAGAGAGCCCCAGGACGCCCCCAAGACGACCCGAGACGGCCATATGAGCGCCCAGAGACAGCCCAATGACTGCCCGAGAATCCCCAAGAGGGCCCCAAGAGGGCCCCAAGACTGCCTCAAAACTCGCCGAGTCCCAAGGATGGTTTAACCGAGGCCTTTTCGGGAGAGCTCTCTGGAACCATCGCGCCAAGACGGCCCAGAGACCCCTGACGGGCCCTCAGCGGGCCGCCAACAGGAAATCAACGGGTCCCCGACAAAGACATGTCCCAAACGCCCCCAAGACGGCCCATTGAAGCACGAGGAAAGATAGAGAGAGAAAGAGAGAGAGAGAGAGAGACACACACACACACACACACATACTTATACACACAAACACGCACGCACGCACGCACGCACGCACGCACGCACGCACGCACGCAGAAAGACACACTCACACACACACACACACACACACACACACACACACACACAACGCACCTTGCCTGCCGCGGTCGGGGATAACCCCAGCTTCCTGACATGACGCACTGTCCATCCGCTCCACGACCCACTGCAAGCCAGCCAATGAATTTGGGTCCATGTGCGCCCTTGTCACTGGCGGCTCCAAGTGACCCGATACTCGAGGAACAGCGTGCGGATAGCCTGAGCATGGTGGGAAATATTCCGCCTGCGGCCTGACGGGCCTTTTCATTACTGGTCAGACTCGCATTGCCCGAGACTGCAAATCTAAACATTGACAGGCACCCGGACGAGGCCTCTGGAGAGACATAGCTACTGATCTGAAACGGATTCTGAGCGCGAGCGCCTTGACGATTCAGCCTGGCCACCCAGAATCCTCTTCAGAGAAAGCACGTCTGAGCGGTCCCAGGGCGCACACTTCGGACTCCACGCAGAGACTCCACTCGAGCCGAATCGAGAGTGACCAGAGCAGGTGCCCCAACCTGCCTCTCCAAAATGCCCCAGCACACGCGGGAAGAGGAGACGCACAAGCAAATCCAGCCGTCCGCCGGCAAGGAAGCACGACGGTAAGTAAGACACAGAGAGGGGACACAGATCCGTGCGGCCGCCCTCTCACCGCAACACGGCCGATGGAACGGACCGACTTCCTCACGAAGTCCACATCGACGCCAGACGCGTACTCCTTCAGCTCGAGCAGCACCTGGCGCACCGGACGCCGCGGCCCGCGAGGGGGAGCGCAGGCCCCCCCGAGGCTGGAGGAGGTGCGGGAGCAGAAGGGGCTGGTGGGCCGTGCCCACCCGGGCCAAAAGCTCAGCGTGCGCATGCACGCGTGCACACGACTCGTCAAAAAGCGCAGCACCACACACTGCCGCCCAGCGTGACTGCGCACGGCACCAATCCGCCACCGTGCCAGGAGGCGCTCAGTGAGCGTACTCGGGTCCATTCTCGTCTTCGTTCGAGTTTCAGTGTCCCTGGGCTCAGATTTCTGGGCGCTCCTGAGGTATTTCGCTCGCCTCTTCTGGAGGCCTCGGGGGCGTGGTCGGGATTCTACACCTCCGACGGAGAGGCCCGCTTGCGTCCGTGGCGGCACGGCGCACTGAAGACAGCGGTCGCAGCGGGTCTCGTACTCCTGGAGGTCTCCAACATGGGGTCCGAATAGATGAGGTCGGAGGACGGCGCCGCATCGCCGATGCACCGGCGATGCATCGGCAATGCATCAATAATGCACCGACGACGTCGGCGATACAGCGGCGACGTCCGCGTGGAGAAGACCAGGCTCCACATCGCCGATGCATCGCCGATGCACCGCCGATGCGGCGCGATCCTCCGACCCCATCTACTCCGACCCCATCCAGGAGGCCTAGGCTCCACGAGGTCGCCTTCCCAGGAGGGCGCCCACTGCACGCCCACACCGATCCTGGCCGGGCTCCGACCCGTGCCGGGGATCGGTGCATGCGCCCTCCTGGCTTGGGCGGGAAGGCATGTGCACCGGCACAGGGCCCGGGGCCTGCAGGATCGGTGCACGGAGGTGAAGACGAGAGACAGGGGTCACGGAGCACGAAGCCCGAAGCCCGAGGCCCTCCCGCGCACGGGAGCTGCTAGGGCGACGAGATCTAGACGTAGTCACTGCCCCTGGCCAGGCCAGTCCTGGCACCATCCTGGGACCAGGATCGAAGTTGTGCACGGCCTCCTGGCTTGGCCAGGGAGGCAAATGCACCGCTCGTGGGCCAAGGATGGGCCTGGCCAGGAGCGGCCAAGATGCGTACATCTCGCCTCTCTGGAGCGACAGGAACCTGGAATGGAAAGAGGCGAGTGCAAACCTGGAGCCCCGGAACCCCGCCCCTCGTCTGAAGGGAAGCGCTGGCTGGCCCCTCTCCTCGGGCCATTCTGCAACCCGCGCCCCTCAACCCCCACGGCTGCGAGGTGGGGCCTGCTCGAAGTTCTTCTCCGTGACAAGCATGACCATGATGTCAACCTGGCACGGCCACTCTGAATGGGGTATTTACCATTGGGGGGAGTGATCAGCCTTCCGACTGAGCTCGCCCCATCCCACCTCCCTCCGTCCTCCCCCTCCTCATCCTCCCCGTATTTCTCCACTCGTTCTGACAGCACCTGCCCAAACCCCCCAGCGGATTCGAGGGGGGGGGCGGTCATTGTCCCATCCACAGCACGGTCGACGCTTGGCCACAAGAACGTGGGTCGGGAACTCGAGCGTTGGCCCAGGGCCCCATGGAGATACCCCAAGCGAAGGGCAGCTCCCAGGTGAAGAGCCCAAGCACGAAGAGGTGCAAGGGCACCCTTCGAAGGCTGGGGGCTGCTCTGCACCCTCGGCCCAGCATGCCGGCCCACCCCCCCTGACGGGGACTCCATCAACTGGACCAAAAAACAAGGCCCCAAAGGCGCTCCCCAGAGGCGCCAAAAGGGCTCACGGGGGCCCCCAGGACTCCAAGAAAACCACATTGGCGAGCGAGGTTCCCCAAGGGGGGCCGCCGCGGTTCCTGGTCTGCGGGCCCAATTGCACAGCATGGCCAAGCCTCCAGGGGCACCGCGAGAGAGACGCCCGGCACCATCAGGGTCCATGCTACATTTTCTGCGCGGGATCCGTTCAAAATCAAGGAGCCCCACCCCAGACCTTGTAGGTTTAAAATTGGGCGGGGGGCGTGCAAGCCAGCGCAAGGCACGTCCAATCCACTGCAGAGAGCAGCCCCGCCTTGCTTCTGGGCCGTGCAAAGCGCTTCCCCGCCTCCCTCAACCCTGCTTTGTCATGCCCCAACTGCGTCCGACTACGGACCCGCTTGAATTACGAGGCGGCGCATCGCCCCCAGCAGCGTCCTGCAGAAGATGAGGAGGCAAAGGGCAATTCTCTTACCTGGCTCGCCTCGATCCTCTACGTGAGAAGCATGATGCAGGTATTCGGTCACGTGTCGGGCAAATCCATCCACCCAGTCTTTACACAACAGATGGCAACTTCACACATCTACATCGAAGAGAGACGCTCGCTCATGAAAAGGCAAGGGGAGGAGGTACATCACACGCAAAAAGAATAGGTTGCGGCTCCAGCAGCAGCAGCAAGTGCAGGCTGCAAAGAATACAGAAGTTGGTGGGGAGTAGGCAGGTGAAGAGGAGGACAGGAAGACTTTGATTGGACGGGAACCTTCTCCATCTTCACGTAGACGGGGTCGTTGTACTTGCAGAAAAACATCTTGACGTCCGCAGCCAGGATGCCTGGACGCCGCTGGACCTTGCTATGGCTTGGTGATGACCCGCGCCCACCCCTACGCCAATCCGAGCAAGTGCAACCCCCACCCACGCCAGTCCCACTCCGCCCTCGTGATGAGCGCGCCTCCACAGGCACCCCTCTAGCGTAAGTAAGACCGGCCAAGACTCTCGGAGGAGGAGGAGGGGGAGGAGAAGGAGAAGGAGGAGGAGGGGGAGGAGGAGGAGGAGGAGGAGGAGGAGGAGGAAAGAAGGAGAAGGATGGGGAGGAGGAGGCGGAGGAGGCGGGGGAGGAGGAGGAGCAGGAGGAGCAGGAGACGAGGGAGGAGGAGGAGAAGAGGAGGAGGAGGAGGAGGAGGAGGAGGAGGAGGCGAAGGTGGACGAGGAGGAGGGGGAGGAGGAGGGGGAGGAGGAGGAGGAGGGGAAGAAAAGGAGGAGGAGGAAGGGGGGGAGGAGGGGGAGGAGAGGAGGAGGAGGGAGGAGGAGGAGGAGGAGGAGGAGAAGGAGCAGGAGGAGGAGGAAGAGGCGGAGGAGGAGGAGGAGGAGGAGGAGGAGGAGGAGGGCGGGGAGGAGGAAGAGAAGGAGGAAGAAGAGGAGAAGAAGAGGAGCAGGAACAGGAGCAGGAACAGGTGCAGGAGCAGGAGCAGGAGCAGGAGCAGGAGGAGGAGGAGGAGGAGGAGGAAGAGGAGGAAATGTTATGAGGCCAACGGGCCTTTCAGGCCTGGACGATCCCTCGCGCTCACCCGAGCAGTCAGGCAGAGAGGAGAGACAGATGTGCCCAGCTCCCGAATCTTGGTGGACACTGCGCAAAAGAGAAAGCCCCAGAGAAAAAATGTCAGGAGGGGGAGGTGAAGACAAACTTACTCGAAATCTGTCCCTGGACCCCTCCAGAGGTCGAAGATAATTGTTCGAGCCGCGTCCCGACGTGGCCACGAAGGGGCCCCTGACTCCCCCCTCTCTGCTGGCTGGAGCCAAAACTGGGCCACCTTCAGCCCCCCGGCCAGCTCCAACCCCAGCCCCAGGCAGTCCACACTAGGCTCCGCGCGATCAGGCGAATGTTGCGCAGCGACACGTACTGGCACTCGGGCTCGCTGGAGAGCAGAGTGACCTCGGCCAGCGCGATGGCTATAATGACAAGCCTTTTCGGCCCCGGGCAACCACACAACACGTCTGGGATAGGCCCAGGGTGCGGTTAACCTAAACAGCTGTAAGATTCCTATACATATGCAATATACCCATATGTATGTGCGTGTATATATAATGCATATACGTATATACTGTTTGCAAGTACCAAATATGGGGTTGCTGGCCACGGTATCGGTGCCTGGATGGTCTCCAGTATGGCCTCCCATGTGGTTCTCGACGGTCTCACTAAGGGGGGTGCCAGCCCCAGAATCGGTGACCGGGTCGTCTCCCCTATGGTATCCAGTTTGGTTTCCCGCATGGTCTCCCTTATCGTCTCCATGTATGGTCCCCGATATGGTCTCACATGCGGTCTCCAGTGTCGTTTGCCGTATCAACACCCGCCGGGTCCCCCGCATGTTCTCCAGCATGGTCTCCCGTATGATTTCCCAGATGGTCTACCGTATAATGTCCCTTCTGGTTTTCATATGGCACCCCGTACGGTATCCCGTATGGTATCCCGTATGTTTACCCATTTGCTATCCAATGTGTTCCCCCGCGTGTATATATATATATATATACATACACACTACTACAATGAAACGTCTGAACACAAAAGATGCTGGTTGAGGAATTAGGCAGCCAATGGACACTTCTGTTTTGCGAGCTCCTTGTCCTACGGTATAAGGCCACCACTGCTCCGTACTTCAAGCACGTCCCCCCCATTCGACATGCCGCCGACCATGAACGTCGAGGAAAGATCAAACCAGGAGAGTCCGATGACAGCCTCAAGTTTCAAGAAAACAAAACGACCCAGGACGGCCCAATGACGGGCCCACATGGTGTCAAGACGACCTGAAAGGCCCTCAGGATGCCACAAGAGGGCCTGCAGGGGCTTTCCAGAGGGTTCCCAGCAGACAGATCCGTGCGCTTTACCTGTAAGGTATTAACCAGTGCTTCGTGTTTTCGCCTTCTGGTGGTTTCCGAAATCCCGCACGGCCCAAGACGCCTCCAAGATGGTCCCAACACGACCCCAGAAGCCCCCACATAGAACCCCCAGGGGGGTTCCAAGATTGCCGAAGAGGCCACCGAGCATGGCCCTGAGACGGCCCAAGACCCAGGAGGATCCCAAAGAGATCCCCATGACGGCCGGGACGCGCCCCAGGAGGGCCCAGAGACTGCTGAAGAGGGTCCCAAGACACCCCAAGAGGCCGCCAAGTGGGCCCAAGAGCAAGGGAAAGAGGAGGAGGAGGAGGAAGAGAAAGAAGACACCCCCGCACCCGGCGCAACAGAGCGGTCTCTGGGCGGTCGGCGCGGCGGGCGCACGCGAGCAGAAGTCGGGAGCAGGGAGGGGGCCGAGGAGCTGCAGAGACCGCAAGAGCGCGGGAGGCCAGGAAAATTCGCCGGCCCAACGGGCCAGAGGCGTGCTAAGGTCTCCGGTAACTGGTTAACAGTATCTCTAGTTCGCGCGCGCGGGGCGGCCCCTTGGGGTCCCCGGACGAAAGTACCCCGGGCGATCCCCGACCGACCCCCGAGCGATACCCGGGAGACTCCCCCAGAGCGCTCCAGGAGCGCTCCAGGAGCGCACCAACAGGGCTCCGAGACGTCCCCGAAACCCTCAAGACGGGTCCAGATGCCCCCAAGAGGCTCCCAAGATGGTACACAAGGGTTCCGAGATGCCACATGATCGCTCCAAGACGCCCAAGATGGCCCCCAGACGCCCCAAGAGGCCTCCAAGAGCACTCCCAAAAGGGCCCCAAGAAGCAAAATTCATAGCTTTTCCTTAGGTTTTTGAAAGATTTGGGAGCTTCCACCTTTTCGGCTTCCCGACGCCCCAAGACGGCCCAAGAGGCCCCCAAGATCGCCCCAAGAGGGCCCAAGAGGCCCCCAAGAGGGCCCCAAGATGGCCCAAGAGGGCTCGAAGACGGCCCAAGAAGCCTCCAAGACGGTCCAAGAGGGCCCCAAGAACGCCCCCAAGGGGGCCCCAGAGAGGGAACACGAAACAACATTTCGAGCCCTCGGCCCTAAGAAGCCCCCACGAGGCCCCAAGAGGCCCCTAAGAGGCCCCAAGAGGCCCCCACGAGGCCCTCAGGAGGCCCCCAAGAGTCCCCCAAGCGGCCCCAGGAGGCCCCCCAAATGCCCCCCCGAGCGCCCCAGGAGTCCCCCAAGCGGCCCCAGGAACCCCCAAAGCGCCGCATTGACACCAGGCCCTCGGGCAAACGGCAGACATGAGACTGTATGGGCCGGCGGAATGAGCGAAGCGATTAAATAAAGCGAGGCATGCTCCCGCACTCGCGCAGACTCTGGGCGTGTCGGCGCGGCGGGCGCACGCGAGGGCCCCCGAGCGCACTCGGGGCCGCCGCGCGCGCGCGGGCCGCGCGGTACCGCTCAGACGGACGAGGCGCCCTGGTCGTCGCAGTCGGCGACGCAGTCAGAGCCACGCTCAAGTCCCTTCCACAGCGACGAAGTTTCGGTGTGCGGCCTCGATTTGAAGCGGCCACGCAGTTAGGCCAACGGAAAGGACAGAAGCGACCACGCGGTCGCGAACAGTGGCGCAGAAAGCAATACGCGTTCGCGCGACTGCAGGAAGGCGGGAAAGCTGGCGAGCGGCGGCAGCCTGCTGATAACGCCCCGCGCGAAGGGCTTGGCGCCACCGCCCACGCCAGCAGGCGCGAGGCACGTCCTCCGCGGCCACGTAAGAGCCAGTCGCCCCTGAACCCCGCAGGCAAGCAGGCGCCAGGTTCACCCCTGAGGCCGCTTTGGCAAGCGGGACGCCCAGAGCCGAAAGCAAGTGGTTCCACCGAGCACAGAAGCCGCTCAGCCCGAAGGGCGCGAGCGCATCGGCGGGACACAAATGCTGCAACACCTGTCCGAGCAGCACCACCGCTGACCTGTCCGAGCAGCGAGCACGCCACGTCGGATCGGTTCGACGGGGCTTCGACACATACATGGGAAGGAAGGCGCCACCGCCGGTTTCAAGCAGATCGCTGAGCAGCGAGAGGTCTCAGCGACGAGCCGCCAAAAGCTCCCGATATCAAATGAAGAACACTGTAGAATCCACGAGCAGCAGCGCTGTCATCAGCGGCCAGTCCCAGAGAACGCTAAGACCAACCATTGCACGCAGTAGCGCACGGGGCAAAGGAGGGCGGGACATAGGAGGTTCGGCCAACTTCCACTGCTCGGCGACACCCCAGGCCTCCGGCAGGAAGGCACGCCAATGAGGGCGCTCGGACTGGATGCTAAAAATAGCGCGCACCAAGATGCCAGACGGGAGCCCCGCAACATGAAGCCACACGCCGAAAACGGCGAGAAACCGAGCCAGCAAGAGCCCGCTGCGGTACAAAATGGAAGGCGCGGTACGCGAGTGCTCTGTGAGTCACAGCTCGAAGGCGTCGACCGACTTCGATCGTCGATCAACGCAGGGGGCAGCAAGGCGAGAATCGCGCGCGAAGGGAGCGCGCGGGGCGCGAGGGCGGGCTAAGCCTGAGCCCGAGGCCCGACGCCGCGGGGGCGGCCGCGGGGGCAGCCGGCCCGGCACAGCATCTGCAAGGCGAACGTACAAGTCCCACACGCCGCTTCGGGACCAGAGGCCCGCACGAAGCTACGCCTGTCTCCCTCGCGCTTCGACACCCGGCCCCCGACACTCACACGGCCGCTCGCCCCTCCAGCAGCAGCCCGCCCCGCACTTGCCACTGTCTCCAGCGGCGCACTGCCGACGCGCCAGAGCAGCGCCGACGGCGTCGCGGGGCCGCCGGGCTGCGAGGACAACCGCAGGGGACCGTCCGAGTCGAAGTCCGACTCGAGCGGCTCAGCCGGCGCCCGCGCGGAGGGGACCTCGGGGGGCGGCGGGCCCAGGGGCGCGCCGGGAGCCGCCGCAGGCGGCGGGCGCGGAAGCGCGCGCGCTGGGAGCGCCGCTGCACCCGCCTTCAGCGGAACGAAACGCAGTCGGCTCGCCGCGCGGCGGGCGCGTCGCCCAGCTGGCGGGGCCTCGCAGGCCTCCTGCGCGGGAAGGCCCGCCCGCGACCCGCCCTGCGCTTGCGGCGCGCGACGCCCGCGCTGGCCCTCGCGCCCCCAAGGCTGGGGCGGTCCTCGAAGGCGTCCTCGCGGCGGGGCCCCTGCCAGCGCTGCATTTGCTTCCGCTTGCGACGCGTGAAGCTCGACGCAGGGTCGCCGGCGGGCCGTTTGGGCCCCGACGGCCCGCCAACTCAACCTCGGCCACCGCCCTGCAGTCCACGGAAACGGGCGCGCCGGGCCCCGCCTGCATCGCCCGCCCAGCTACGCCGGGTCTGTGGGAGACTTCGGCGTCGTGGACCACCGCCCGGGGCCGCTCGCGGTGGCCCCGCCCAAGCTGGACGGGGGCGGCGCGCTCGAGGCCACGCCCCTCGAGCACCGAGGCCTCCGTCAACCGACGCGCGAGCTTTCGCTCGGCGACGCCGTGGGGCAGGTTGCCGCGAACAGCCGCTCAGTCGCCCTCCCGCGCAAGGGGGGCTCCACCAAGCCAGCCGCAGAGGAGGCGCGCGCACCGCGGAGCTGGCCGAGCTCGACGCGGACGCGCGCAGCCATCTTCGCTAGCTCAGACGAACCCACGGCAGCGAGACTCGGCTCCGCCGAACCTCAGGCACCGCTGGCGGCGGTAGCGCCGGGCGACGCACGGCGCTGGCGCAGCTCCGCCTCGGCGGCGGCGACCCGAGAGCGGCCTCATCGAGCGTCTGCAACGCCGCTGCGTGCCCCGCGGGTGCCTTGCCCCTGCGCGCACCCTTGCCCCTGGCTGTTGCCCGGGCCAGGGCGCGGGCTGCAGGGCCGCCCCGCCAACGACGCCCCCAGGCGAGGACGATGTCGCCGTGCTGGCCTGGACCAGCTGAGACTCGGCCCCGAGGAGCTCGTCAGCTGCCATCGGGCGCACACCGCGCACGAACGTACGCGGCGCGGCTTTCTCGCGCCCCCGGGGACGACTCGGCCGACACCTATGCCAGGGGGCGGTTGGCGGGGGTTTGGTCCCGAAGGGCGGGACCACCAGCGGTGGCCGTGGAGGGGGACTCGCGGCCTTCCCATTGCGGGGGCACACACCATGCATGCTGACCGCCCCGCCGCCACGCTGCATCAGATCGTGGTAGGGACGGCGAAGGGGCTCGACATCTTGCCCGAAGCGTGCTGTCGCGTGAACTAACTAGCGCACCTGCCGCCGCCTGGCGCAGCTTGGCACACTGGCGTTGTGGTGCGCGTGCTTGACGCAAGTGGCGCATCTAGCGCACCATGCGCGCTTGGCACGAGTGGGCCCCTGGGTCATCTGGTGCGCCTGGCGCGTACGGCGCACCATGGCACACCTGGCACGCGTGGCGCACATGGCGAGCGTCGCGCACCTGGCGTCTGCATTGACTCCTGATGGCTGCCCGTCCGATGGCGGCCTCTGCCTATGCTGAATATCGGGTGGCACCGTTGAGTGAAAATCTGTGCATCAACAACTGGAAGACCACTCCGAATACACCCCCCCGCACCCCCCGGGCCTTACTATTGGACAGTTGGTCCCGGAAGTGAGCGGCCAGAAAAGACTAAACCCATGATCTCGATCGCAACGCATTTCAATCGTAAGGCCGGGGGGTGGAAGGGGGGGAATTCGATTCTTTGTCGTCGGAGCGTTGTGGAAGCAACGTTTTCTCTTCGACCGTACGTGTATCATAAGAGGGGGCGGTGGCAGTGAGCGAGGCACCATGCAGCGGGCCGCTGGGAACTTGAAGCCTCCCCTACCCTCCCCGGGGTCTGGAGGGATGCGCGAGGGATGAGAGCGTAGGGCCCAGGTGGCTCGAGATAGCCCAAGATGGCCGCCAAGATGGCACAAGATAGCCACACATTTGTTCGCCAGCGGCGAGGCGGCGAATTCCGCTCCAGCGAGAAGCTAGATAGGGGCACTAACTAGCAAATTGGCCGGCAAGCAAACAGGGAAGGGGGGACGGCTGAGAAAAAGAAAGGACGCTCTGACGCCGAAGAGTTCGACGATGAGCAGCCGGGGGGCAGCAGCACAAGATAGCCACACATGCTCAAGAAGGCTTCCAGCATACCTTCAAGAGGCCACAACAGAACTCTAAGACGGCCACAAGTGGACCCGGAACCTCCAAAGAAGACCCCAAGAGGCTAAAGACCCTTCCAATACATGTGGAGCATCAACCAGTTCCCCCAGACCTGTGCATGCAGCCAAAGGATCCAGGCAGGGGCAGCAAGACAAAAATGGGGCTACCAGGCTGACTTCGGTAGGCGGCTGACTTCCCAGCTCCCAGATCCGCGTTTCGGACCGATCTCCGTAGGCGGCCCCGACCCAGGGCCCAGCCCTGGGCACCTGAAGGCCGATGTCGAAGACGATATACCATATACCGCGGTCAAACAAACCTCTCCGCTCGAGGCCTGGGCGCTCCGAAGCTCTGAAGGAGAGCCGCCGGGAGCCCCACACACTGGGCGCCGAGGGTACCGCGCCCCCTGACGCGGCGCGCCGAAGTGGCGAGGCTGACCCCCGCCAGAGGCTTCTTCGGTCGATCACCTCCAAGGTGGCCCCGAGATGGCCTCCGAGGCTTCCAAGAAAGCCCAACGAGGGCCCCAAGAGGCCCACGGGAGGCCCCGAGGGGCCCCCAAGATGCCCCCCTCCCCACGAGGCCCCCAAGAGGACGGCCGAGATGACTTCTGTTCAGCCCGCGGCCCCAAGAGCCCGACCCCTTCCCTGAGGGGTGGTTTTTCGTCCGGGATCCATTTCTGATGGCACCCGGGCCCGAACACGGGCCCCGGAGGCCGACGCCCAGGAAAAACCGCCGCAGGGGAAAAAATCGGATCCCCAGATCTCGCGGCCACGCGCACCTCAAAACCGGGCGCAGATCCCGCTGGCCCGCGGGCGCCCAGTGCACCGCCGCCGTGCCGGGCCCGCGGCCAGCCCCGGGCCCCCCGGCACGGTGTGCACGCCGCCCCGGGGCCCAGGCCGGCGCCCCGGCCAGGCACGGCGCCAGGCGGCGAGCTCTGCACACTTTTTTTGACTCGCGGGTCGAGAGCGCACCTCTCCCGGTCGCAGCTGAGCGGGCCGCGCGCAGCTGAAATTGACCAGAGATGGGGGAGGCAAAGGGGGGCGCAGCCTCAGAACGAGGCCGGGAGGAGGCAAAGCCTCGGAACCAGGCGAGCTCTGCACACGGCCACCGCTCCCCGGCCAGGCCCGGCCGGAGCCCAGCAGCGGTGTGCACGCCACGCCCTCCTGGCCCGGCCCAGGAGAGAGGGCGCACACACGGGTCCTGACGCCTGGCCAGGCACGGCGTCGGGCGGCGAGACCCGTGCACGGCCACCGCTGCCCAGCCTGAGCCCAGCAGCGGTGTGCACTGGCGGCGCGCACTTTTTTTTTATCCGCGGGTCGAGAGCGAGCCTCTTCCGGTCGAAGCTAAGCGGGCCGCGCACAGCTTTAATTGACAGAGGGGGGAAGGCAGAAGGAGGGGCCTCACTGGCGGCGCGCACAAAGGGGGGGCTGGGGGAGAGGGGGGGGAGGCTGCTCCTCTGAGAGGGCGCCGGCCCTCTACGTCTGCAGACAGGGCCCGCGCCTTCCAAGAGGCAGGGGCGCCTCGTACCCCGACCTTCCGGAGTGCTGAAAAATGGCCCTCGAGACCCATAGACCCATCTGGGCTGCCTAAAACCTCGACCGGAATTGAGATGTCGAGGTCCTGGTGCTGTTTTCTGGCCCTCCTGGAAGGTCCGGGCAGGAAGCCCTCCCCCCTCAACCCCTGCCCCCCTCTGCGCGTCGCCGAGCATACGCCCTGCCCTCCTGTTCTGGGCAGGAGGGAGCACACCCAGGTCCTGGGTTCCGGGTGGGCCCGGCCAGGGAGCAGCGGCTGTGCGCAGGCTTCGGCGCCAGGTGGTGGCGTGTGCTCTGCCGATGCCCGGCTCGCTCTGCGAGGGCCCGGCGCGCCCCGCTTCGGACAGAGCCCCCGCACGGCGGAAGCGCGACAAAACAGGGGCGCGGGTCAAGAGCGTGGGCCCCTTGGCCGAAGGACCAAGGCCCCATGGAGACCCCAGACACCCACACACACACACACACACACACACGTAGAGCATTCTTAGGTGGAGGGCCAAGCACGAAGAACCGAAGAGCAACCCCATCAAAAGCTAGCCAGAGCGCATCAGCGCATCAGCGCATCAGCACACTGGCCGGACGACTCCATCAGCGCGCTCTCTGAAGAAGCCCCACGCTGTCGCACCAAAAGCGTATGAGTAAGACGCACAGCGGGCCAGAAACATTAGGGATAGGGGTTATTGTCTGCAGATGTGTCAAACCAAACCACCAAGATATATTATCCCGAGTGCAAAGACGGGGGCCTAAGTGAGGCCACGTCTTCACTATGTTATCAAGGTCGGGGCTTCCTTCTCCTCGATGATGAAAGACGGCGCGCGCGCGCCACTGATACTCTTCATGCCGCCCGAGCCAAGGCTGCTCTTGATCGTGCCAGCTGAATCAAAAAGCTCTGAGAAGGGGAACGCCAGGGGGGGACCAGCTCACGGGGGCCGAAGCATCGAGCTGGAATCGGCGATGCATATACATCGCTGACAGCTCCGCGCGATGGGCCCCCGACGGCGAATCCGCACTCTCCTGCGCCGGGGGTGGGCCATCGGGCCGCCCCGTCGGCGATCCATGAGCGGCTGGGAGGTCGGTGCTTCCCACCCCCAGAGCCGATCCCCCCCTGACGTTGCCTCCTGTGAAGGGGCCCTGGGACACACAAATAAATACACACAAATAAAATAATTCACTATATTTTCCTATATTTTCTGGGATTCTGTCATTTTTCCACATATTTTCTGGGAAATCGACGATTAATTGTGTCTGTGTGTTTTTTCCCTTTTGAAATTGGGGGGTCGGTGACGTTGCCTCCTGGCGCTTTCGGGTCACAACTCGGTCCTCCGGCGGCCGTCCGGGGCGAGCCGTGCGCCCTCGGGCTGCCCTCGGCGAGGCGCGGCTGCTGGACCCGCACCCTTCGAGGCCGGAGAACCGCCCGAGGTGCGACGGAGACGCCCGAAGACCTCGAGCCTCGGACCCGAAAGGCTCCCCCCGCAGGCCTGTCCCCCCCTGGCGCTGGCCTCTGAAGCTCGGAGCACACACACACACACAAGTCATACGCCAGAGGCGCGTGGACGCTGACAGTACTGTACAACGCTGTGCTTCCACCATGCGCTGATCGTGCACAAGGTCAGAGCTCAGATTGCCACGAAATGACTCTCTCTGCACCATGATGGAGCACAGCCCTGGACTCGGGAGCCCACCAAGGACGTGCGCGCCCGGCCGCGTGCATGGACACGGCCCCCCGGTCCGCGAGGCCAGCCTCGTGTTACGAACGTTCGCGCGGCGCGCACTCTCGAAACCCACACATGGGTTCATGTAGCGTGTCCTTGGCGGCGCGCACAGGGGGGGAAGGGGGAGGGGGGAAGGCTTCTTAGAAGGAGGCGGCCTCTGAGAAGGCACCGGCCCTATACGTCTGCAGACAGGGCCCGCGCCTTCCAAGAGGCAGGGGCGCCTCTTACCCTGACCTTCCAGAGTGCTACAAAAAAGCCCTCCAGACCTATAGACCCATCTGGGCTGCCTAAAACCTCGACCGGAATAAACATATCGAGGTCATGGTGCTATTTTTTGGCCCTCTGGGAAGGTCCGGGCAGGAGGCCCTCCCCCCTCAACCACTGCCCCCCTCTGCGCGTCGCCGAGGCGCGCCTTCTTCCGCTCCTGACACCCCCATGAGCCCTCCAGGGGCCGGGGGCCCCGCGCGAGGCGCTGGGGCCCACAGCCCCGGGACCGGCGTGCCCCGCCCTGGGCCGGCGCCGGGCGGGGGCGGGGGCGGAGGGGGCGGGGGGGGCGGCGGCACCAGAGGCGGGTTGAGCTTCTTCGCCAGCATCCGCAGCACCTCGCGCAGGGTTCGGCGGGCAGCGGGCGGGGGGAAGGAGAGGGAGGAGGAGGCCTTCTCCATAGGGCGGCGGGGCTGCTCAGAAGGCCTCCGCGGCCTGCGGAGGAGGTCTTCTGCGTCTTCGGGGAGGGCTCAGATCGGCCGAGCCTGCTGAGAAGGCCGTGACAGACTGGCGCGCCAGTTCCTATAACGTCGCGCGTGGGTCGCTCAAGCTTGCATCGTCGGCGGCTTTTCGATCGCCAGACCATTCTATGTTTCAGCGGTGGACAAACCTCCCTTTAGTAAACCTCCCTTTAGTGAAAACGGTCTCGGACCGAAACCGACGGACCTGGACCTGCAAAAACAACGGCCGCGACGCCCTCTCGCGAACCGAGAACGGCCAATTCGCTGATCGACGTGTCAGGGTTTAGGTCGGGCCTGTCCCCCTACAGGGGGCTTTTGGGCGAAAAATTTTCAGATACTCCAGAAATACTCCCAAAATGCTCAAAAATAATCCAAAAATCCTCCCCCGACTCTTTTTACCTATTCTTGAACATCCTTCCTGTAGAGGGACAGGCCCGACTTAGCTCTACGCTGGCCGGTCCCTGGCCCCCGGCGGCGCCCCGCCTCGAGCGCACGCGGCGGGGTCGCCGACGCGTCGGCACGGCTCGAGCCTGCCGCACCTCCGCGCGAGGCGCACGCCCGGCGCCCCGGCATCCCGCACCAGCGCCTCGCGGCGCGGCGCTGCCCAGGCAGCGCCGCGCCAGACGACGCCCTCGGCGTTTCGGCGTCGGGCGGAAGGGGGGGGGAGGGCCTGGCCCTGGTTCCCCCACGTCTGCTGACAGTAATACTGCAGCCATGGACCTGAGAATTGGACAGACAGACGCAGCACGACCCACTCCACGTTGGAAAGGTTCCCAAAACGAGTGCTTGCACCGGTGCGTCCCACGGGGGAGGCTCCACCTGCTCGAGGCAGGCGCCAGGAGCAACCAGGGTCTGCTTCCAAAGGGGGGGGGTGCGAGGGCCCGCGCCGACAAAGCAAGGAAGACGAAAAGGATCACTATACTACAGGCTTTTCGGTGTGCGCATCGTCCCTGCGGCAGCGGCGCCACGCGTAGCACAGGCCCTGATTCTTGGTGCGGGAACGTCCCGCTCTCCATCGCAGAGACCATCGGAATCCAGGAATCTCCTCGCACCCTGGAGGCGAGCAGGGCACTTCTTGGCATGGGCCTCCACCGTGTGGTGACGGTGTGCGGGGCACCAGCTGCGGCCGCTTCTGCTCGCTCCGCCAGCGCCCGCCACGCCCCGCGTCGGGCGGGCGCCCGCGCACGGCCGAGGGCCGCGCGGGGTCGAGGGCACGAGAGCCGCTTCGAGGACGGCCCGAGGCCCCACGGAGGTGCCCAAAAGCGAAGCGCATCCCAAGGCGGAGAGCCCGGGCAGGAGGGACGCGAGCGTACCTTTGTGGATGCCATGGCAACGGACATCCTAACACTCCTATCACTGGATTAAACATGTGGTTAAAAGGCTTGGAACATGTTCAAAAAATGTTCACAACATGTTTTTTACATGTTTAAGACACGTTGAAACCATGTTTTAGACATCTGGAAATGATTTAGCAACATGCTCCCTCTCCATTGATCGTCGTCCACAAGCGTGCCCTGCAAAAGCTGAGGAAGTTCTCGACTTTCTTGCTGACTGCACGGCGCCGACGTTTCGCGTGGTGTGCTGCCGTCAGGCGGCAGACTCCAGACGCTCTCGGGGAGAGGGGGGAAGATTCACAATCGGCTCGGGCTGGGATGTCACACTTGGGATGGCCATCTTGGGCTCTGGGAAGACCACTGATAGCTCTTGCGCACGATTAAACTCTCGTAGGTCAGGCAGCGAGGTCCAAGCCAATGTCAAGCCTAAAACAAACCCGCTCGCTCTTCAACCGCGAATGCTTTATCCGACACGCAGGCGCCCGCGTCACCATGCAGGAGTCCCACCGAGCGCGCGAGCGTGTCCACCCAGTCACACCGGACACCGCAAAACTCATCCGCAGGCCGTCTTGGTCGGATCTCCCTGTACGCTCCCCTCGATCCCCGCCCTCCGCACCTCCCGCGCGGCAGGTGGCTCGGAGCAGCCACCGCCGCCACCGCCACAGCCGCGGCCGACGCCGCAGCCGCAGCCGCGCGGCCTCGGCGGCCGCCGCGGCAGCGCCGCGCGGCACCTGCCGCGCAGAGGGGCTCAGAGGGCGGGGCCCGAGGGCCCTTCGCCGCGCTGCGTGCAGAGCGTGCCGGGCACGCGGGCACCGCGCGAGGGCGGCAGCCCCGCTCGGCGGGGCCACAGGCCACGAAGAGGCACCGGCGGGCGCTGGCAGAAAGAGACACGTTGCCCGGTCTCGCCCAGCGCCAGGGACTCGGGCGCTCCGCTGGGCACGGCGCTCGTACCCTGCAGGGCCATCGGCGCGGAGGCCGTGGCTTCAGCGAGGAAGATCATGAGTTCCATCGCGAAAAATACGCGGGCTCAGCGTCCGGGGCAGTGGCACACGGCCAGGTCCAACTCGAGCAGACGCAGGGTCCAGGGAATGCACCCAAAAGGTCCCGAAGTACGGTGTCCTATGCAGTAACAACTTGCACACTGCATGGATGCCCAATACAGCTGGGCGCATGTGCCATATCTGTCATCTGCCATGGGCAATATTATGCATAAGCGGGAAGCGATTACCTATTGGCAATAAACGATCGACAGATTCGAATATACAAGCAGTAGAATGCACGAAAACTGGGCATCAGGCATAGCGCACTGCATATCAAGAGCGAACGGCAATGCACAGACATCCCGAGGAGATGGTATATAGCATAGAATGCTGGGCTACGCCATGCGCAATGCAACACAATGCGATGCGTTGTAGAGCAATATACAATAATCCCATGCAGCGAAATGCAGGTCCCCATACTATCAATCACCATGCCAGTCACCAATGCAATCCAACGCAGTGCGCTGCAAAGCGCAGCGCCACAAAGCAACACAAGGCAACGCATAGCAATGCAGAGCAAAGCAACACAAGGCACTGCAATGCCAACTACCTTATCTCCCCTCTCCCTTTTCAACTATCATCTCTATGTCTAGATATGTACACGTATGCATATGCATCAGCTCCTCTCTCTTCTCTCCTTCCTCCTTCAGCTTCCATCCTCTCGCCTTCCTCCTACCACCCTCGCCCCTCCTTCATCATCCATCCTCCCCATCCCTCGTCCATCCTGCCTCCTACCTCTCCCCCCCTCCTTGCATGGTCCTCCATCCTCTTTCTCCGCCTTCTCGTCCGTCTCCTCCTTCTTATCTTCCCCCTCCTCAACAACCCTTCTCCCCATCACCCCCCGTCATCCTCATCCTCCCCTCCTCCGCGCCATCCGACCTCCCACAGCCCACCGCCAATACCCACGCGCCTCATTGTTGTCAATGTACTCCATGCACATCAGGATCACCTGGAGACGCAGCGAGAATCCAGGGAGCACGCACGCCCCCCCCAGGTCCACCCGGTCAGGCGTTGTCAGAGGTGCACCTGGCCAAAGGTGCCCCCAGGGGTCCCACAGGCCAAGGTGGCCTCCAGAGCAGGGCTCGACCAAAACAGCGTGTTATTCTTTCTGTTCGCTCCCCGAAGATCGCCAGAGCAACGTTCAGGCCGAGCCCCGCTCCAGAGCACACTTCCCGAAGCCCAGAGGGCCCCAGGGGCTCCCACCTGGCGCGACAAGCCGGGGATCGCCCCTTGGGCCAGGGATGCCTCCGGCAGCCCGCCGACCCGGGCGCTGGGTCGGCGAAGCCCGCGAGCGGCCGGCGGTGCGCCTCAGAGCGGACGCCGGCGGCACAAGCGCGAGAGCGAGAGGGGAGAGCGAGCGCGAGAGGCCCCAGCGACGCGCCGATGGGCCCAGACCCCCGAGTGTCACGACGGCAGGTCTCTCGTTATGCTCGGCCTCTGGTGAGCCTCACTGGGCCTCGGGACCGTCAAAAAACGACGCAGGATGAGAAGCCCGTCCCGGGGAGTGGGTCTGGACCTCTGGGAGGCGCGTCAGGTAAAAATCATGACGTCAAGAAGGAGCCCTCTTGGAAGGGCCGCCCCTGCCCGAGAGTGGAGGCCGCCCGACTGGCATCCGAGCAAAGTTGGTCGGAGGGTCGCGCCGCATCGCCGATGAATCGGCCATGTATCGGCGACGTCGGGGATGCATCGGCGGCGTCGGCGTGGATAAAACTGGGCTCCACATCGAGCCGTATCGCCGATGCACGACCCCGTGTGGGCGGCCTGGAAAGGGGAGCCTGCGAGAAGGCGCCCCTTGCAGCATGCAGGAGCTTCATGTGGGACGGGGTGCCTCCTTTGGAAGTCCTGCCCTGCAAAGGGCTCTCTGCTAAGGACCCCGACCCTTCCATCGGGGGGCTCTGTGGCAACTCATGGGAGCCTCCCGTGCCATCCTACCGGCTCCTGCAAGTCGGCCTCGAGGACACGCAAGGGCTCCCGCGCGTTGCCACGAAGGGCGTCTCTGAGAAGGCCCCTCCCCCGCAGGGGCAGGAGCTTCTGGGGGGGCGCGGAGCCCCCTTTCAGGAGGCCCCTTTCCACCTGGACCTACTCCCATCACTGGGACGCAAGACTCCTCCTCCTCCTCCTCCTCCTCCTCCTCCTCCTCCTCCTCCTCCTCCTCCTCCTCCTCCTCCTCCTCCTGTGCACCCCGTCCTGGGAGGCGCACGTCCGAACCGCACATGCCGTCCAGACACCTGACGGCACAGACTCCCCCAGGCGGCATGGCCAGAAAGCCGCCCGCCTGCGAGCGCACGCCACAAGAGTTCGGAGCGCGCGCGTCGCCTCCAGGAGGGGCCGGCACACACACACACACACACACACTTTTGATTCGCGGGTCGAGAGCGCACCTCTTCCGGTCGAAACTAAGCGGGCCGCGCGAAGCTTGAATTTACAAAGAGAGGAAGGAAGGGGGGGGGGGAGCGCAGCCTCAGGGCGAGGCTGGGAGGAGGCAAAGCCTCGGGATCAGGCGTGAAACGCGCACACACACACACACACACACACACACACACACAGCATGCTCCGAGTTTCTCGATAAGCGTCGGGGGGGCGTCACCCCCGCCGACAGTCCAACATTGACCCCCGTCGCGGGCAGCCACCGCGCGCCGAAGGCGCTCCAACCCCTGTCGCGTCCTTCTCTGGGCGTGTTTTTGTGGCACCCTGGGGAAACGCGCCGTGTCGACACTCTCTCGGGGCCGGTTTGTCGACACCAATACACCGGTGGCCTAGGCCAGGAGAACGCGCACGCGGGAAGGGCAGGGTCACTCACGCCATCGCGCAGCTTCGCTTCGCCCGCACGCCACCGATTTCCCGTGGATGGCACGCCGCTTCACTTCGCCTCCGTTTCTCACGCACCGCCCTGCACACCGGGGCCGAAAAGGGAGGGCAGCCAGAGCCGAAACTTCTGGGAAACAGCAGCAGCTGCAAAAAAACAGAAAAATACTCCGACGGTGGACCCCACATGAGAATCCCCTCAACCGATCTGGAAATAGCCCGCACCGTCGTCCTCGTGATTGTTGCGGCATCCTTGCTGTCTCCTCTGCATCATTACCGTCCCCGCCCTGGCGCTGGCTCTCCGCCCGCTCCCTACGTTGTCCCCTCCTCGCCCTCCTGTTTCTTCCCCATATCCAAAGGATGGGGTTCTTGTTATTCTCTGACCGCGCTGGACCTCCTCGTCTCCCCTCCTCCCTCGCTGCACCAGACAATGATGATTGTGGTGATGGTATGATATGTATATGATGGTGATGGTAAATGATGGATGAATATGATAATGATGATAATGATCGCCATCATCACCATCATCATCATCATCATCATCACCATCATCATCATCATCATCATCATCATCATCATCATCATCATCATCATCATCATCATCATCATCATCATCATCAGCAGCAGCAGCAGCAGCAGCAGCAGCAGCATCATCATCATCATCATCATCATCATCATCATCATCATCATCATCATCATCATCATCATCATCATGACGATGAGCACCTTATGAGGATGTCTCGAGTGGTTTGCTGGTTTTTCCCCATATCCTAAGTATGGGGTTATTGTTATTCCCCATATCCTAAACATGGGGTTATTGTTATTGGCGGACCGCGCCGGAGGAGAGAGAATATACCAACACACCACTCCTCTCACTCAGACCCACTCACTCATCACTCAGACTCACTCATCACTCAGACCCACTCATCACCCAGACTCACTCATCACTCAGACTCACTCATCACTCGGACTCAGTCATGACTCAGACTCATCACTCATCACTCAGACTCACTCATCACTCAGACTCACTCATCACTCAGGAGCAGATTTGGAGGATGTCTCAGGCGATTCGCTGGTTTCAGCACTCTAAGGGGAGCGGCGGGGGGGTATTGCACTCGGCCCCTTTCGCGGGACTTTGTGGGGATTCTCAAGCGGTTTGGCCATTTTCCCTTCCAACATGTTTCGCTTTCGGAGCAGATTTGGAGGATGTCTCAGGCGATTCGCTGGTTTCAGCACTCCTAAGGGGAGCGGCGGGGGGTATTGCACTCGGCCCCTTTCGCAGAATTTTGTGGGGATGTCTCAGGCGGTTTGGCCATTTTCCCTTCCAACATGTTTCGCTTTCGGAGCAGATTTGGAGGATGTCTCAGGCGATTCGCTGGTTTCAGCACTCTAAGGGGAGCGGCGGGGGGGTATTTCACTCGGCCCCTTTCGCGGGGTTTTGTGGGGATGTCTCAGGCGGTTTGGCCATGTTCTCTTCCAACATGTTTCGCTTTCGGAGCAGATTTGGAGGATGTCTCAGGCGATTCGCTGGTTTCAGCACTCTAAGGGGAGCGGCGGGGGGGTATTCACTCGGCCCCTTTCGCGGGGTTTTGTGGGGATGTCTCAGGCGGTTTGGCCATTTTCTCTTCCAACATGTTTCGCTTTCGGAGCAGATTTGGAGGACGTTCGCGCCCAGTTTGCGGGGATGTCTCAGGCGGTTTGGCCGTTATGCTGCTGGGCATCTGTCGTTTTCGGAGCAGTTTTGGGAGGATGTCTCAGGCGATTTGCTGGTTTCAGCACTCCCAAGGAGGAGGAGAAGGAGGAGGAGGAGGAGGAGGAGGAAGAAGGAGGAGGAAGAGGAGAGAGCAGGAGAGGAAGAGAAGAAAGGAGAAGCGAGGAGGAGCAGGAAGAGGAAGAGGAGGAGGAGGAGGAGAGAGCAGGAGGAGGAGGAGGAGGAGGAGGAGGAGGAGGTGGAACAGGACTAGGAGGAGAGAGGAGGAGGAGGAGAAGGAGGACAGCAGAACACGGTAGAGAGAGCAGAAGGGAGGATGATGAAGAAGGATGATGATGATGAGATGATGATGATGATGATGATGATGATGATGATGAAGATGATGATGTGATGATGAGGATGATGATGAGGATGATGATGATGATAATGATGATGATGATGATGATGATGATGATATGATGATGATGATGATGATGATGATGATGATGATGATGATGATGATGATGATGATGATGATGATGATGATGATGATGATGATGATGATGATGATGATGATGATGATGATGATGATGATGATGATGATGATGATGATGATGATGATGATGATGATGATGATGATGATGATGATGATGATGATGATGATGATGATGATGATGATGATGAAGATGAGGAGGAGGAGAAGGACGTGGGCAACTCGAGTAGCCAGGGCCAGACGATCGAGTTCGATGTTCCAAGGCTTTAGGTTTTACTCAAACGCTTCCGCCTCACTCTCCTTCGCTCTCCGCTCTCCTTCACTCTTCTGCATTCCTACTCACTCATACTCAGACTCAGTCACACGCAGGCTCACTCGCACTTAGACTCGCTCATATCCATACTTAAACTTACTCACACTCAGACTCACGCTCAGAACCACTCATACTCAGACTCGCTCCTGCTCAGACTCATCTTTCTTCGGTCCGCTCAAACGCAGACCGACTCACACTCAGACTGCCTCACATCCATACCCAATCACACTCGGCTCACTCGCACTCAGATTCATTAACACACACTTTTTCTCACACTCAGACCCACTCAAGCCCAGACTCACTCATGCTCAGACTCATCATGCTACGATCCGCTCAATCACAGACTGGCTCACACTCAGATTCGTCCATACTCAGACCCACTCGCACACAGACGCACTCGCGCTCATATTTACTCACACGCATACCCACTCAAACCCAGGCTCAATCGCACCCAGATTAACTCACACTCAGAATCAGTCGCTCTCAGATTTGCTATTGGTCGCACTCATGCTTGCAGACTGTGGGAATGTCTCGAGCGAGCGGTTCGCCCTCGCACACAGGCGCTCATTGACAGATATCAAGAGAAAGACGTACCAAGAAATGAGATGCACATATGGGGAGCCCCGCGTCGAGTAATTGGCGGACCGC